GCTCACAACCGTCCCTAATTCCAGTTCCAGGGAATCTGACACACTCTTCTACACTACATGGGCACCGGACATACAAAATATTCATACACATAAAACAATCTTAAAAGATATTTAAAAAAAACAAACTGGATTTCAGTTGCATCCCACGAAAAGCTTCCAGAGAGGAGAGCTGTGTCCTCAGAGTGCGCTGTATCTCCATGGAAACTGAAAATGTCAGGAAGGAATATCTCCAATGGTAGTTACCACATTCACACAGCTGAATCTTACATCTGTCTTGTAAGGTCTCCTGTAGCTTTAGCTGCCAACAAACTCCCTAAGTAACTGAAGATGACCTTGAACTACCAATCCTCCTGCCTCCACCTCCCAGGTGCAAACCCAGGGCTTCCAGCATGCTAGGTGAGCACTCTACCCACTCGGCTACACTACCCCCTTTAAATCTTGACTGAAGCCATAGATGGGGCCTGGCTAAAGCTCAGACTCCACTGTATACACTAAAACCCAGTCTGGGTCACTCGAGGCAGTACACACACGTAACCCCAGTGCTCGGGAGGCTGAAGCCAGAGAGAGTTTGAAGCAAGCCATCTGAAGGAACCAGCTCTCTGTGGGCTTGGAGGCATATGCCTAAGGGTGGGGAGAACCCTGGGCACTCAAGGGCTTCTGCCCCCTCAGCAGTTTCTTAGCACCGGTCCACTCTTTTTAAGTCATTTATTTATTTTTTTTTTTTTTTGGTTTTTTGAGACAGGGTTTCTCTGTGGCTTTGGAGCCTGTCCTGGAACTAGTTCTGTAGACCAGGCTGGTCTCGAATTCACAGAGATCCGCCTGCCTCTGCCTCCCGAGTGCTTTTAAATCATTTATTAATTCATCATTTTTTGAAAAAGATTTATGGGAGCTCAGATGTTAAGAGCACTGGCTACTCTTCCAGAGGAGCTGAGTTCAATTCCCAGCAACCACATGGCGGCTCACAACCATCCGTAATGAGATATCGTACCCTCTTCTGGCCTGCAGGCAGAACACTGTATACACAATAAATAAAGAAATCTTTAAAAAAGAAGGAAAGCTTGAAAAAGGTTTGTTTGCTTTTAATTATTTGCTTCTCTGTGGGCATGCATGCCCACAGGCGTGGGAGGATCAGAAGAAGGCTCCTCCAGTGCCGGAGTTGCAGGCCCCTGTGCCAGCAAGCTCTGGCTGGACAGCTCAGTCATCTCTTCAGCCCCAGTTTTCAATATTTGCTTGTTTGTTTACTTATTTGTTTATTGGTTTTTCGAGACAGGCTTTACCAGTAGCTATGGAGCCAGTCCTGGAACTCACTCTATAGACCAGGCTGGCCTTGAACTCACAGAGGTCCACTTGCCTCTGCCTCCTGCCTCTGTTGGGATTAAAGGTGTGTGCCACCACTGCCCAGAAGTTTTTAATTTTTTGAGACAGAGTTTTACTGTGTCCAGGCTGGCATGGAATTCACTATGCAGACCAGACTGTCCTTGACACTGACCCTCAGTCTCTCAAGTGTTGGGAAGACAGGTGCGTCTCACCTAGCCACTAGCTTGACTCTTCTGAAGGAGATTTTTGGAAAGAATGGGCCTCTACGCCTAAATTGAAGGTTGGCCTTGGTCCACACCTCCAGGATTTGCCACAGCCCCCTCAGTCTGCAGTGAGTCCTTCACAAAAGCTTCCGGAAGGTGTGGATGAACTCTGGAAGGTCAAAGGCCATAGCTCACAAGCTCTTGGTAAAGATAATGGCGCTGATTAGCTGGGGAGGATGTTGAGGGAAGACTCTGACTTCCCTGTGTGGTGTTGCAAGAGTCCTGGAAGCTCAAAGAACAAACACTCCAAACCTACCTCCCGCCTCCTCCAGAGTGAGAGGGTCATCCTGTCTGTGTTGGTCATCTCATACTGCCTGACAGCACCAGAGAGAAAACTGTGAGCCAGGGCTATGCTGCAGCAGCCATCTGGACACCGACCCCCACCCGGCAGCTTGAAGTGTTTGTCACGAGACTCAGTCCAGAAGTTCCCACACTCCTGCCGCCCTGCGCTTCACTTTTTCAGATGCCCAGGCAGCAAACTATGGGGCTGGGAAGGACCTACCTTACTCAGAGACCTGGTGGGGTGTGAAGGGAGTTTCTCTGACCTTCCCTGTTCATTTGGGGACAGGACCAGACTAGGGTAGAATCACAGAGCCTTCTCAGGTCAACAGAAAAAAAAAAAAAAAAAACCCAGTGATTTAAAGGAAAAACGCCTGGGTGGGCGATGTGGTTCAGATAGAGAGGGCTCACCTATCAAGCATGAAACCCTGCGTTTGACCCCAACACTGCACAAACTAAGGGTGGTGGCTTCTGCCTGGAATCCCAGTCCAAGGGTGACAAAGGCAGGAGGAACAGAAGTTCAAGGTTTGTTTAGTGCTGTCTCAAGCTACTAAAGCCCTGCCTCAAAAGCCTCGCTTCACATTCCTGCTAGACGCCAGTTTGTTGACGTGATGGCCAGATGCATCTACCTCAGCTTTGGACCAAGGCTTCAGTCCTGGAGTGCCATTGAAGAGGGTCCCCAAGGCTTCCTGTGGCATAGATACGACTCTGCAAGGTCCTATCACCAGCTCCCTCATCCCTGCATGGCACCTTCAGGAGAGCTCCCCAATGGGCGGCGGATAAACAGCCCAGAAGCCTACCCCACGTCAAGCATCCTCGTTGCCCTTTGTCTAGGTTCCTCCCCCTTGTTCCACTTTGGGTTAGGAGACCTGAAATCCCTGCAGCTGGGTATGGCTCCAGACAACAGGGTGGGCACTGGGTTGAGGGGTGACCTATTCCTCTGGGCTGGTCTGCTAGCCTTGTGAATCAGACCGTGCTGATTCAGAGACGAGACAAGGAGAAATGGCTCCCTAGTTTTTGGCGAGAGTTGGCGTGTGAGCAAGTGTGTATATATGACTGTGGAGTCCGCGGTTGAAGTTGGGTGTCTTCCTCAACCGCTCTTCACCTTATTATTACTGTGTAGCCTGGCTGCCTCCCAATATTGTAATTAAAAGTTAAAGGCGTACACCACCATGCCAGACTATCCACCTTTGTTTTTGAAGCAGAATCACTCAGGATTCTTCTGATTCAGTTAGACTGGCCGCCCGGCCAATGAGCCCCAGGTGTCCGTTTGTCCTTGCCACCCCAGCACTGAGAGGACAACTGTGTACCATCACACCTGGGTCCAACTGAAACTTTCTTACAAGCTGGGCCGTGGTGGTGCACACCTTTAATCCCAGCACTTGGGAAGCAGAGGCAGGTGGATCTCTGTGAGTTCAAGGCCAGCCTGGTAGACAGAAGAGTGAGTTCTAGGATGGCCTGGGCTATACAGAGAAATCTAGTTTCAAAAAAAAAAAATTGCATTAAAAAAAAAGCCGGGTGGTGGTGGCATACACCTTTAGTCCCAGCATAGCGGAGGCAGAAGGAGGCAGATCTGTGAGTTCGAGACCAGCCTGGTTGACAGGCACCAAGGCTACAGAGAAACCTTGTCTCAAAAATACAAAAAAAAAAAAAAACCCAAAAAAAACCCCGAAAACAAAACAAAACTTTCTTACTCTGGGCTCTGGGGGCTGGAGAGATGGCTCAGCGGTTAAGAGCACTGGCTGCTCTTCCAAAGGTCCTGAGTTCAATTCCCAGCAACCACATGGTGGCTCACAACCATCTGTAATGAGATCTGGTGCCCTCTCTGGTGTGAAGGCACACATGCAGACAGATCACTGTATATATAATAAATAAATGAATAAATCTTTAAAAATAAGCAAACAAAACTCTCTTCCTCTGAACCCCGGGATTACAGTTATTCCTGCATTGCCTTGCCTACTGTTGGGGTTGAAAATCAGAGCTTCCTAAGTACTACACGCCTGTGCCTGTCACTAAGCCAGCCTCGTGTTCCATTTTCACAGTAGCTGTCCTAGCCAGTGTGAGGTGACAGCTCTGTCATAAAACAAACAGGATAGTCATTAGCCAGGCTGGGGGCAAATCATGGCAGGCAGGCACCAGACCTTGAGGGCCTCTCGCATGCCCTCACAGTTCCAGGCTGACCCCTCCCAGAGAACGGTGACTCCTAGTCAGCTACTGAGAAGAACGCCTGTGCACTCCTAATTAAAGAGAATAGGGGCTGGAGAGATGGCTCAGAGGTTAAGAGCACTGACTGCTCTTCCAGAGGTCCTGAGTTCAATTCCCAGCAACCACATGGTGGCTTACAGCCATCTATAATGAGACCTGGCGCCCCCTTCTGGCTTGCAGGCACACGTGGAAGGAATGCTATACACATAATATAATAAATAAATAAATAAATAAATAAGAGAATAAAACAACCAAGAAGTGCAATCAAGAGAAAGGGCAGGGCTGGAGAGGTGGCTCGGTCGATAAGAGTGGTCCTCACTTTCAAGAGGCCCCAGAAACCATTCTTTGTCCCACACTGACCTGTAGCTCCACCTCCAGTTACTCTGTGAGGCGCCCTCTCCAGGTCTCCACAGGGACCCGCACTCATGTGCAGTACCTATGACAGAAAAAAAACCCCACCTACACGTAATCTAATGTATGATTGTTTTGCCTGCAAACACACACACACACACACACACACACGCACGCACGCACACACGCACGCACGTATGCACTGCATGCATGCCTGATACCTAAGGAGGCCAGAAGAGGGCACCAGATCTCTTGGAACTGGAGTTACAGATGGGTTTGAACCATCATGTGGGTGCTGAGAACTGAACCTGGGTCTTCTGCAAGAGCAACCAGGGCTCTCCGCTGCTGAGCCATCTCTTCCAGCCCCTCAAATCAGTTCTGAATGAAGCTCTGCCTTTGCTGCTGGATATTGTCACATTCTTTGTCTCTGCCCCTTCCTTTCTGGAATTTTCCTAGCTATTTACTGTTTATTTTCCCAGCATAAATTTTAGGATCAGTTTGTCTGGTGCCAGCCTTGTCTTCTTCCACTGCCCCCTCTTCAGTGGCATGTGATAAGGACTCCAAAACATGTTCTTTATTTTCCAGATGACAGGAGATATGGAAAGCCCAAGATGCCACGAGAAGTCCAACCAGGTAGGCACGTGCTCTCCCACTGTGCTGGTTAAAGGGAGCGCCTCCCCAGGGCTCCATTGTCTCCCATTCCCTTTTGTTCTTTGAGATAAAATCCTTTTACAGAGCCCTGGCTGGCCTCGAACTAGCTTTGTAAACCAGGCTGACCCCAGACTCAAAGATCTGCCTGCTCTGTCTCTGCTGTGATGAAAGGCGTGTGCCACCACCATCTGGCTCTATGATGTTTCCTAACACTTCAGGGCTTAAGGGATGGCTGCTCCAATGTGATGTTCTCATTTTAGTGCTCAGGAGAGAGCACCAGGCTCCAGCGTCCTTTACACACGGTACTCAGTTCTGTGTATCTGTGCATGAACATGTGTGTGTGTGTGTGTGTGTGTGTGTGTGTGTGTGTGAGAGAGAGAGAGAGAGAGAGAGAGAGAGAGAGAGAGAGTGCTGAAAAGGCCACAGCCTCCAACACTGATCCTCTGCTCTCTGCCTCAGCCCTGAGCTTTGGAACCGGCCATTTGTTCAACTGCTGTAGAAATAACAGAGCTGCTGTGCAGAGAGGTGGAGGGACCTTCCTTGACCCAGCCCAGCTCTGCACTGCTCCCTGCACCCCAAGGGGACCGTTGACCTTTATCTGCCTTGCTGCAGAGAAAGGAAACGCACCTGAAAGAATCCAACCCTGTACATCGAATTTAGCCTTTCTTCTGATTTTTTAAAGGATTTCTTTTATTCTGTATGTCTGAGTATGTGCCACCATGCCCAGCTCTGAAATTCAACTTCCATTGACTAAGTCAATTTATTGAATCCAAAAGTTTAAGAATCCCACAACTGGCTGGGTAGTAGTGGCGCACGCCTTTAATCTAAGCACTTGAGAAGCAGAAGCTGGTAGATCTCTGTAAGTTCGAGGCCAGCCTGGTTTTCATAGGGAGTTCCAGGCCAGCAAGAGGTATATAATGAGACCCTATCTCAAAAAACAAAAGAACCCAAAAAACAAACAAGCAAAAAAACCCAAATAAACAAACAAACAAAAAGATAGATTCCCCTAACAATCCAGAAAGTTGCTGAATTGTCCTCAGAACACATAAGGGACTCACTGGAATAATCCAAAGAAGCTTGTCAAAGTTAGGGTGATGAGTGTCAGAATACAAGTCTTGGGCTGGGGAGATGTCTTGGTCAGTAAAGTACTTGCCATGTAAACATGAGGACCTGAGTTCAATCCCCAGAAGGGATGTAAAAGTTGGGTACCACAGCATGTATTTGTAATCCCAGCTCTGAGGAGGTAAACAAAGTCTGAGACCTCGGGCTCGCTGGCCAGTCAGCCAAGCCTCATCAGTGAGCTTCAGGTCCCAGGGAAAAGTTTCTGTTGCAAAAGACAAGGTGAACAGCTCCTGTGGATCAGTACCCAAGGTTGGCATCTGGTGTGTGCGTATGTATACACACACACACACACACAGAGAGAGAGAGAGAAAGAGAGAGAGAGAGAGAGAGAGAGAGAGAGAGAGAGAGATCTGATTAAAAGGGAGACAAGAGAGCACTTTCCTGAGTCTGGCCCTGACGGGCATGTGTACCCTCACTGGCCATGAAGAGGACTTTATCTTTTGATGGAGAGTAGAATGGACAGGGCAAAGAGCTGACTTGAAGATTCAGGTTTCCGGGAATGGACCAACAGAAACCATATGCCCCTCAGGTCTTACCCTGGTAGAAGGTAGAGTCCTCTTAGGTCAACTTCCTCAACGCTCCATACCTGCCCTATTGATTAGCTGGAGTGAGGCCACATCATAGGACCTACTGCCTCCATTATGTCCTCTGTTTTTGTTGTTTTTTGAGACAAGGTTTCTCTATGTCCTCTGAAGGAATATAAGGAGAGCTCAGCTAGGTTTAGGAGGAGTGTGGTGTGACATTTGTCATTCATGTCTACTGTGTAAAAGGGATGTGGGTGTCCCACTGCGAGAGGCCCGAGACCCTGCTATTTGCTCTTGGTGCCTTCTGTGACCTCTAGTTAAGAGAATTTTTTGGAGATTCTGTAAGAGATGAGTGGTTGTCTAGGCAAACCTTGAATTCTTGACCTTCCTGCCTCCACCTCCCAAGAGCTGGGATTACAGTTGTGTGCCACCATACCTGACTATATTGAAAAGGGACACACTGAGTGGCTCTTTCCCTTTGCCAAGAGGTCTGATGACATACACATGGCACAGCTGTTAAATGCCTTTCCTATCCAGATCTGGGCGGCAACATTGCTCAACAGTTTCTCTGGAGTTGGGGCAATCCTATTTCCTCCCCCAGTCTAAGAGTTCTGGTTTTCACAAACACACTCAGATACAGCCCAGGGCCATTAGGTGGGAAGGACCTTCCACCAACGGAGAAAGGTCATCAAGCTGCTCCTAGCAGGAGCCGACAGGCCTGACATGCTCCACTCCTGCAGGAGGGACACATCTGGGGCTCCATGAGGAGGACGGCTCTCATCCTGGGCTCTGGGCTGCTCTTGTCTGTAGCCTTCTGGAACTCAGTCACATGGTAAGTGTGCCCCAGATCTTTGGGGTGAAAGGCGCGGCATGAACGAGCTGGCTTTCCAGTCTTCCCGGACATGTAAATGTTTTTCCTTCCAAGGCATCTTCAGAGATTTTGGGGTGCTTCTGGCTACTTTTGGCAGACCCAGTGGGAGAAACTGCTGTCCACATTTGAAGGCAACGAGTGGCTCTTATTCTTTATAGGTGAGGTTGCAGCCCGAAGGCTGCGTGTGTTGTACTCCACTATTGTTCTTTCCCACACTACTCTATTATCATTTATTGCTACTGTTGTTATATCATTATCATATTTACTTCACCTGCATGTGGAGGGCAGAGAACAACTTGCAGGAGTTGGTTCTCTCCTTCTACCATGTGGTCCTGGGAGATGAACTCAGGTTGTCAGGCTTGCCGCAAGCGCCTTGACCTGCTGCTTTATCTTATGGGCCCCGTCTGGAAATGTCGCACTGGCTGTTCTGGAACTCAATTTGTAGACCAGGCTACCTCTGAACTCACAGAGATCCTCCTGCCTCTGTTTCCTGGGTGCTAGAATTGCAGCACACAACACTATCTACCCAATCTGCTGTTTTAACCAAGGTTTTTGCTGAATGCTTGTAGCCATCTAGTCACACGAGCAAGGCCTTAATATTCTAAGGTGCCGGCTCTGTTCTGTCACGTGAAAGACTCTTCCTTAGTTCACTGCCTACTAATGGACATTTTGGCTACTTTAGGTGTTTCCTTGCGATTAAAAAAAATACTATAGCCGGGCGGTGGTGGCGCACGCCTTTAATCCCAGCACTCGGGAGGCAGAGGCAGGTGGATCTCTGTGAGTTCGAGACCAGCCTGGTCTACAAGAGCTAGTTCCAGGACAGGCTCCAAAACCACAGAGAAACCCTGTCTTGAAAAACCAAAAAAAAAAAAAAATACTATATTTAGCCAGGTGGTGGTGGCGCACGCCTTTAATCCCAGCACTCGGGAAGCAGAGGCAGGCGGATCTCTGTGAGTTTGAGGCCAGCCTGATCTACAAGAGCTAGTTCCAGGATAGGCTCCAAAAGCTACAGAGAAACCCTGTCAAGAAAAACCAAAAATGAAAAAACAAAACCAAAAATCAAAAAACATAAATCAAACTATTTACTTACTTTATATGTGTGCGTGCGTGCCTCATGCGTGCACCATGCTCATACAGGAGCTGGGAGGTTTACTTACTTTGTGTGTGTGTGATCATGCGTGCCTCATGTGTGTCTGTGCACCATGTTCATACAGGACCTGGGAGGTCAGAAGAAGGTATTGATTTCCCTGGAACTGGAGTTACAAATGGTTGTGAGCCACCATGTGGGGAGTGGCAATTGAACCTCGGTCCTCTAGAAGAGCAACCAGTGATCTTAACTGCTAAGCTCCCCCCTCTCTTGCCCCCAGATTTTCCTGTGACTTTGATTTTTTGAGACAGGGTTTCTTTGTGTAGCCCTGGCTGTCCTGGAATTCGCTTGTACACCAGGCTGACCTTGAACTCACAGAGATCCGCCCACCTCTGGGATTACAGGCCTGCACCACACTGCCCGGCTTTTCTTGTTATTCCTGAAGATCATGTATCAGCATGTCTATGCATAACCCTTCGTGTATTTGCATTCTATCTCTTTCTTTTTCACTTCAAAGTCTTCCCAACTATCCCGCAGAATGAGTCTACCAGTGGTCTTCTCACCCTGGCCAAGTCCTTCCTATATCCCTCCTACCCCAGGGGAAGGAAAGCACTAGAGGAAGGGGACAGAGACAGAGCTCAGCGGAAGTGTCTGTCCTTCAGGAGTCCCAATCCAAGAAGAGGCCACAGCAGTTAGGCAGTTCCACTGTGTCCCTTGGGTGACTGCTGGAGGGGAAGACGAAAGACTTGAGAATGTGGGAGGTGAAACAGAGGCAGACAAATGTGTCTTCGTCGGTGTTTTCTTAATTTTTACTTATTATTATTGTGTGTGATGTGGGCGGGGACATGCACATGCCACAGTCCGTATGCGGAGGTCAGAGGACAAATCAGGCTTATCTAGCAAGAGCTTTACCCACTAAGCCACCCAGGTCTATGTTTCTTCTTCTTGGCATAGGGTTTCATGTATCCCAGGATGTCCAAGAATGGCCCTTGAGCTTCCGAGCCTCCTGCCTTCGATCAGTATTTTCTAAAACTGTTTTTTTTTGAGACAGGGTTTCTCTGTGTAAACAGTCCTGGAACTCACTCTGTAGACCAGGCTGTCCTCAAACTCATAGAGATCCACCTGCCTCTGCCTCCCAGTTGCTGGGATTAACGGCATGCGCCACCACAGCCCGGCTTCTAGAATATTTTATAGAGCATCAGCACTGGGGACAATGGATCGGGCAAATCGCTTCAGCGTCCAAATAGCAACACGTGTGAGAACAAAAGGACGCACCAGCAGTAACTGTGCTGAGAGGGTACAGCAGAAACACTTGTTATCCCAGCAGCACTGACGCAGGGGGATTGCCATGAGTTTGGGGTCTGTCTGGACTATACAAGAGTTTCAAACTAAACTAGGATAGAGTAAGACCGTGTCTCAAAACAAGTAAAAAACAAAACCCCAAAGCCCAGGTATGTACACACTTTTAATCCCAGTATTTGAGAGGCAGAGGCAGGGGAGAAATCTATTATAATAGAGTTCAAAGTCAGCCTGGACTATGCAGTGAGACCCTGTCTCAAACACACACACACACACACACAAAGGAGGGGGAAGCACACAGAGACACACGGACAGACAAGACAGAACAGATAGTGACTTTTCCAGGTTCCATAGCTGGGACAGTCACCAGGCAGGGGACAGGTCCATTCAGGGGTTCATTCAGTTCCACTGTGTGACCTGGGGCTGCTCTAACTCCCTCTGCTCCCTGCCTCAGGGGCCGCCCTCGTGCCTGCACTGTGTTTCTGGGGCTTCAATGGCCTTCTACTGGTGGTGGACACAACAGGGAAACCCACCTTCATCTCCCGCTACCGCATCCAACTGGGCAAGAATGAGCCGGTAAGTGACACTGCAGCTCTGAGTGCTGAGAACACAGGAACCAGTCAGGGCAAGACAAAGACTTACCTTAGAGGCAACCCTAATCCAGAAGGTTAAAGAGAAGGAAGCTGGGTGTGTGTGCATGCTTGGTAGGTAGAGTGCTTGTCTAGCCCAGGAACAGCCCTGGGTTCCATCACCAATGCACACTTGTATGTGTGCAGCTACAATCCAAGCATTCAGGGAAGTGGACGCAGGAGGATTAGAAATTCAAGGTCGTCCTTGGCTACATAGGAAGTCTGAAGGTACCAAGGTACATGAGACCCTGTCTACAAGAAAAGGCCAGTGACATGGTACAGCAAGTAAGGGCATCTCCTGCCAAGCCCGAAGACCTAAGCTTGATCCCTGGAATTCCACAGTGTCAGAAGAGAACCAGCTTCATTTATTCTGGGCTCAGAGGCACCTACATGCACATTCGCACACACACACACACGCAAAAAAATATCAAATGGAAAGGCCACTCAGCCAGTAGCCAGTCTAGACCAATGTCCTGGTCTCCTTATTCCCACCACAGGCTGTTTAATGATACCGAGCTTAGCATATTAGGAAAAGGAATGACTGCCTCCACCTGGACTGGGCTGTCTCCGAGATGCCAGCAGCACTTTACCCAGGGCAGTGAGACCATGGATCTGAAACCAGACACCTACTGTCCCAAGGGAGTCATCCCCAGGGTGGCTGGGGATGGTGCAGATTCTGGGTGTATAAGGTGGTCGTTTTAGCAAATCCTTTATTTTGTTTAATGTTTTTTTGAGACTGGGTCTCCGTGTAGCCCTGGTTGTCCTGGAACTCACTATATAGACCAGGCTGGCCTTGAACTCAGAGATCTGCCTGCCTCTGCCTCACGAGAGCTGGGATTAAAGGCATGAGCCACCATCATCCAAGGCAACCAGTATAGTGTGTGTTGTCAAGACAACCCCAGTAAGGCAGGAACAGCCCCAGCACTTGCTCACTGTAGGGGTTCAATCACCACACTGCAGTCTGGACCAGCCTTCCCCGTGTTCTGACAACCTGCAGAGACGATCTTACATAACAGGGCAGAGGCTGATTCTGAAAACAAACTGTTCCCTCAGCCCCACCCAAACCCTGTCCTGGCAGTTGGCTCTTAATCTGCCCAGGTGCCCGGTGAGTCACTTCTGCTCTCAAGGCAGTCTGCCCAGCCTGGCACCAAAGGCAGTAGGGTTGAAAGGAGTCCTGATGGAGTCCTCTGAAGTGGTCTCCTCCTGAGATGGCAGCTGCCAGAAAGCTGGGAGGGCTTCCTGCAGCCCACTCTGGCAGAACAGACTGGAGCCCTCTGTGTCCGTATTAGTAGGCCTGCCGTCTCCAAAGCAGCCACCACTGACTCATGCCTTCATCTTTGAGGCTGAGCACTGTGAACACTGACCGTCATGTCAGATAAGGCTTTGCCATGGGCCCTGGGTAGGACATGAGATGGACCAGAACTTCTTTCTTCTCTCCTACCCCAAACAAGGCTGGCCTCCAACTTGCAATACAGCTGATGATGGTAACTCCTGATCTTCCTTCCACCACCTCACCGGGTTATCCTGCACCCAGGGCTCCAAGGATACTCCAAGGGAAGGCACTCTACCCGCTGACACGCATCTCAGCCCCACCCTGGGCCTTTCTAGCTCCAGGGCTCCAACGGATCCTCCCCAATCTACAGCTCTGAATGTCACGCGGCAGTGACAGGAGAGCAGTAGGCTGGGCTGGAGGTGGGGGAACCGGTCAAGTTTTAACTTTCCAGGCTCCAGAGGCAGGGAGAGCTCAACCTATCACTCCAAGGCCAGCACAGCTGTTTCAGACTTTCTGAGGACACTTCAGGAAGGACCTTGGGAAAGTCTAGTCTCTGGCTAGCTGTAGGAGGTGCTCTTCTCTTTTTCTTGTCCCATCTTTTTTTTTTGGGGGGGGGGTTCTCAAGACAGGGTTCTCTGTGTAACAGTCCTGGTTATCCTAGAACTTGCTTTGTAGACCAGGCTGGCCTTGAATTCACTGAGATCTAACTGCCTGTGCCCCCCAAGAGTGCACCACCACCACTGGGCTCAGAGGTGCCGACTTAACAGGATCCCAGGAACAGATGACAGAGGGAGCTGAGGGTGGCAGGCATTCCTAGGATCCCAGCCTGCTCAGAGACACCCCTATCTCCTCCTTGTCTATGGACACCTCTGCCCTCCCAACTCCTCCTTCCTAGTCTGGACTCCACTGTACTGAGGAAATGGAATGAAACCACATGCCCAGATCCCATAGCGCTGAGTCTCACGCTCTGTCCTGGGTTGTGCCTGCCATGTGTCCTAGCTCCTGTCCTTTTTGACCCAGGAAATGGCTTCAGCATTCTTCCCTCTTTTTTTTTTTTTTTTGTTTTTTTTGAGACAGGGTTTCTCTGTGGTTTTGGAGCCTGTCCTGGAACTAGCTCTTGTAGACCAGGCTGGTCTCAAACTCACAGAGATCCGCCTGCCTCTGCCTCCCAAGTGCTGGGATTAAAGGCGTGCGCCACCACCGCCCGGCCATTCTTCCCTCTTTCTTACTACTCTGTCTCTCTCCCAACCCAGTTTATTTTTTCTCTGCATTATCACATAAATGCTTTGCTTGTTCCAACTCTAAAATTAAAACACAAACCTTGGCTGGGTGTGTTGACACACACCTAGAATCCCAGCATCTGAGTGGGAGGCAGGAAAATCGATTTTTAAAAATATGTACGGGTGCTTTGCCTGCTGTATGTCTGTGTACCACACATACCCAGAGTTCAGGACAGGTTATCGGATTGATAGTCTGGAGCTGCCACATGCATGGAGGAAATCAAACAGGGTCCTCTGTAAAAACAGTGTCCCTTACTACTCAGTCTTTTCCCCAGCCCCGGCCACACTTCCAAAAATACACAATGCCACCTGTTTTGCTCCCCACTGAGGGCAAGCACTCTGATAGATCCATCTACACACTCAGAGCTGTCTATACCGCCCCAGTCTACACACTCAGAGCTGTCTATACCGCCCCAGTCTACACACTCAGAGCTGTCTATACCGCCCCAGTCTACACACTCAGAGCTGTCTATACTATCCCCAGTCTACACACTCAGAGCTGTCTATACTATCCCCAGCCTACACACTCAGAGCTGTCTATACCACCCCAGTCTACACACTCAGAGCTGTCTATACCGCCCCAGTCTACATACTCAGAGCTGTCTATACCGCCCCAGTCTACACACTCAGAGCTGTCTATACCGCCCCAGCCTACACACTCAGAGCTGTCTATACTATCCCCAGTCTACACACTCAGAGCTGTCTATACTATCCCCAGCCTACACACTCAGAGCTGTCTATACTATCCCAGTCTACACACTCAGAGCTGTCTATACTATCCCCAGCCTACACACTCAGAGCTGTCTATACCGCCCCAGTCTACACACTCAGAGCTGTCTATACCGCCCCAGTCTACACAGAGCTGTCTATACTATCCCCAGTCTACACACTCAGAGCTGTCTATACCGCCCCAGTCTACACACTCAGAGCTGTCTATACTATCCCCAGCCTACACACTCAGAGCTGTCTATACTACCCCAGTCTACACACTCAGAGCTGTCTATACCGCCCCAGTCTACACACTCAGAGCTGTCTATACTATCCCCAGCCTACACACTCAGAGCTGTCTATACTACCCCAGTCTACACACTCAGAGCTGTCTATACCGCCCCAGTCTACACAGAGCTGTCTATACCGCCCCAGTCTACACAGAGCTGTCTATACTGCCCCAGTCTACACACTCAGAGCTGTCTATACCGCCCCAGTCTACACACTCAGAGCTGTCTATACCGCCCCAGTCATCTTTGCAGCCCCTCAACTAGCTATGCAGTCTCTGTCCTTCCTCTTGGCTGTTTTTTTTTTCCCAAGCATTTAATAGTAAGAGTTTTAAACAGAGAGAAATGTAGGAAAAATATAGACTCATCTACATAGTTCAGAGTCAACCATTTAAACTGTATAACTTTCTCCAAATTGTTCCAAGTTTGAGACAATGGATGACTATTTTTTCTAGTCTTCTGCTGCCTCATTCCTGTTTCTGTCAGCCCAATTCTCAGGTCATATACTCCCAACAGTGATCCTGCAGACACCAGGGCACTAGGTGGAGGCTGCCAGTTAGGCAGACAATCCAAAGCAACCATTTAGTCTTTTCTCCTGGGACAAGTTTGTCATCTGCTCAGCCTCTCTGGGTTGGCCACAAGTAGAGCGAGCTGAGGTTGGGGACCAGCCCATGCTGTCCTCACACCCATGCAGATGCCTTGTTCCCTTTGTGAAGCTCGGCAGTCCAGCTAGCTCTGAGGTCACATAGACCTCTTCTGGAACGCTTCAAGATGGCTGAGCCTGTTGGGCAGTGGTGGCACACGCCTTTAACCCCAACACTCAGGAGGCAGAGACAGGTGGATCTCTATGAGTTTGAAGTCTTGAAATACAAACAAGAAAAAAAACAAACGGCCGAGCCCACCATCGCTGCTTATCTCTCCGTGTTTAACTGGTATTTGTTTCATTGTCCCTGTAGAGCAAGCACAGCACTAGGTGTTCTGTGGGCCAGAACTCAGCAGTGGTGGACCCTGGCCCACAGAGCATGTGTTCTGGCGGGACATTCTCGAGAACAGAATTGTACCATTCAGCATTGCCAGCTCACCTATGGACTACCCCAGTGACTCCTAGAAACCTACCCTGAGCAGGTTAGGTAGAAACCTACTTCTCATGTGTGCCCCCTACCCACTCCTTCTGTCCTCCGGCAGGTTGACCCCGTCAAGTTGCGTCAGTCTATCTGCACAGTTCTTTTCAACCAGACTATGATTTCTCTTCCCATGCTGGTCATCTTCTATCCTTTCTTCAAGTGGAGGCGAGACCCCTGCTGCCAAGAGCTTCCCACCTTTCACTGGTTCCTTGTGGAGTTGGCCTTTTTCACCCTCGTGGAGGAAATCCTGTTCTACTACTCACACCGGTGAGCTATGTGCACAGCTGGCCTCACCCTGGCACAGCTCCCTGGTCAGTAGTCACTAAACCGTGTGGTCTCTGTCCTTAGGCCCTATTCCAAAATCGCTAGACACACAACTGATTCTCCAGCTTGACACAATGACAAGGGAAGGGAAAGCTGCCGTTAGTATGAGAGAATGGGTCAGTTCCCATCCACTTTCAGATAGTCCTTTCTAGACACCAGTTTACTTTACCACTGGGGTTGTCAGGCAGCTTAGGTCAGCCTCATCATCCAGTCAGACTAGAGGCAGCTCCACAGATGTAAACCTCATTCTTACCTTTCTTTTCTGATCATCTATCTGCTCAGGGGGGAGAAGGCTGAGCTGGCAATGACCAACTATAAATTATCTTTCCAGGCTCCTTCACCACCCAACGTTGTACAAGAAAATTCACAAGAAACATCACGAATGGACAGCACCCATTGGTGTGATCTCCATCTATGCCCACCCTATAGAACATGTGGTAAATACAGCCCCTGGAGCCCCAGAAGTGGTGGCTGGTAGTTCCCTGCCCTTTTATTTTTTTTTCTTCCCACTGAATAGCTGCCATCTCTTGGCTGTGCCAGGTGCCCACTGTGTTCTTATTCTCCCCAACAACCTTTTACACAGACTCTGCTGAAGAGGAAGTGAAACTAACTTCAGCTATCTAATTTACAATTCAAGGTCTCCCTGCAGCACCGTGCAGGGCAGAGTGAACGTCCAGCTGGCTCTCTCCAGGACCATCCTTTTTCTTACAGGTTTCCAACATGTTGCCAGTTATGGTGGGTCCACTAGCAATGGGCTCTCATCTGTCCTCCATCACTGTGTGGTTGTCCCTTGCTCTCATCATCACCACTATCTCGCACTGTGGTTACCATCTGCCCTTCCTGCCTTCACCTGAGTTCCATGACTACCACCATCTCAAGTAAGCCAACAGCACCCTTTCTTGTCTCTGTGGACAGTGCTGTCTCCATCTAAATGTGAGCCAGTCAGGAAGTATACCTGACTATAGGAAGATGCTGACTAGGTAGGGCCACCATCTTTTTTCCTGACATCAGGTTTCTTCCTGCAGTTCATAATGTTAACCATTATTTGGGTTTGCTGAATCTCTGGAGCTTTAAATCATCTCAGAACCTATGTACTTAAAAACTCGGCACACTTACAAAATGTGGGCTCTTTTCTTGGTTTTGAATTTTTTTTCTTTTTGTCCAGGGTGGGGGTGAGGGTTCGAGACAGGGCTTCTCTGTAGCTTTGGAGCCTGTCCTGGAACTAGCTCTCGTAGACCAGGCTGGCCTTGAATTCACAAAGATCCACCTGCTTCTGCCTCCCAAGTCCTGGGATTAAAGGCATGCGCCACCACCGCCTGGCTTGAGTTTTTTTTTTTTTTTTAAGTAATCATGCATCATACCCAGAAGAGGGCTGGCAGGCTCTTGCCTAGCATGTGCAAGACCCAGGGTTCAGTCCTCCAGTTTAGAAATAATCACACAGTGGCTCAACTTTAATCCTAGCACTGAGGAAGTTGAGGCAGAAATAGTGTCAGTTTAAAGCCAGCTGCACATAGTGAATTTCAGTTGAGTTTGGTGAAACTGTCTCAAGAACAGTAACAAAACCCTAAACTACCTTCCAACAGACTTCAAATGCTCCAGGCTCTGTTACAGCTGGGCAACATGGTGATGCTAAGCATGGGAAAGGAGGGCTGAGAGAAGCACAGTTTCCCAACAGTTTCAAATGGGAGATTCTCTTCCCTCCTTCAGGTTCAACCAGTGCTATGGGGTACTGGGAGTGCTGGATCACCTGCATGGGACTGACATCATCTTTAAGCAGACCAAGGCCTATGAGAGACATGTCCTCCTGCTGGGCTTCACCCCACTTTCAGAGAGCATCCCTGATCCTCCCAAGAAGATGGAGAGTTTGCTTGGACCATCCCAACTGTTCCCTCACAAGTAGAAGGTGTGGAGACTGCCTGGGAGCCATGCCCTTAACAACTTGCCTCCTTTTGCTACCATACTCTAAGGACTGTACCATTAGGGAACAGGAAAAATACAAGCTTCCTGCCAGGACAAGACCATGAAAGGGTGGATATGAGCTTCCCCCAAACTACTTCTCATGTTACCTAGGGCCCAGGAGTTGACTTAGGGAAAAAGAACTAGCTGTTTGGGTTGCAGGACAGTCAAAGGAAAGTCACCAAGAACCTGGTGGTCTCCTTTGGTCCTCTGCTCCAATTCCCACACTTGGCTCCCCCGGGAGACAATGGGCTGACAGTAGGACTGGAAGATTACTGATTAAAAAAACTTTTCTTATACCTAAAGCCAGGGCATCCTGGTAGTCACAGGTCAAATGCGTTGACATGCTAGATGCGGTCCCCGCTTCCCACCATGAAAGCATGAGATACTTTTGCCCTCCAAAGATACAAATTGCTTAGAAGGGACAACAGCCCACAAGAGCTTCTCAACGTGATGTGCATCCTGGCCCTTGCCTTAACCTGTTTTAAACTGAGGCTGATCTCATGTGGGAGAGGACCCAAGTCAGTGCTCTCTAATCCCCCAAAAATCTCCCCCCAGCAATTACCCTGAGAACACACGGTTCAATCTTTAAATGGTAAACCAACGGTGAGCTACTCGAAGAGAAGGCTGCATGGCCCTGCTCCAGCCTGGACCCGGGTTCAGACAGAGGTGCTGAGCCCCATGTCAGATTGTTAGGTGTTTTTCTCCTGACAGCTCGTGACTGGGAACCCTGGGATCCCAAGAACTTGGCAACTGTTAAGGTGGATCTGGAAGGCTGCCACCATTACCATTTGTTAAATCTCTGCACAACTGTACCAGTCTTACATGTTCAGTTCAAGGTTAGTCAAGACTCCTTATTGTAGATTAAATACCTTAAAAAAAATCCACACAACACAGTACAGCGGTTTGCACTGTAGTTCACAGCTGCTCTGGAGATTTAGGTCCAGTTCACAGCCAGCCTAGACAAACGCAGCAAAACGTCAATGTCTGGTAAGCCAGTTCTCCAAAACAGGGCTTCATCCCATGATGCTGAGGCCAACACAAGACTGGGTCAGCTGCCAACCTAGCACTTTGCCGGCAGTCCCAGCCTCCTCTGGCCTTGGTAACCTGTGCTCTTGGATTCCTTCAAATACAAACCCACTCCTCACTTTACCCCCAACGCTAGATGACAGTCATTCCCTTTCTCATGAGCAATACTCTCTGCAGTATCATCCAAGGGGGCAGGGCCAATTAAAAAAATGGAGATGTACTGTCAAGAGTACATGGCCTGTCTCTATAAGGCCTAATATTGGTGAATAAGGTCTTAAATTCTTCATAAAAGCGTGACAAAGCATGTAAATAAAGTCTCTATAAAACTCTAACAGATTGTGTTGCCCCCTCCCCATACACACACTGTATAGCACTAGAAAGTAAGGCCCCACAACTGAGGAGCCAGCTGACAAGGCCATCCCTAATGACTGTGACGGAGGTGAGCATGGCTCACCTGGCAATCTACAGAAGGCCATTGGTGGCAGTTATCACCCACCCACCGGACAGTAAGAAACTCTTAAAAAACAAACACAACAACAAATATGCTCATGCAGAGATAGTGTGGGCTTCTTACCTGGGGGCACACACCAGGCTGCACTCTGACACCCAACAGCAGTGTTTCGGATGGGAGACCAACCAGTTTTTTTTTTTTGCCTTTTCAAGTTTTTATTTTTATACATTTTTTTGTATTAAAAAGAAAAGCATAATAATTATCACCAATTACAAAGGACTAGAGCAGGACCAGAATAATGAATGAATCACTTCAGCCTGGGAAGCAGACACTCTCAATAATATTAATGTTATGATACAAGCTCATTCAAGTATTTTACATTTTTTTTGTCCTGTTGAATGTGATATCCTAGCACATGGTAAAGACAATGTACGAGCCTAAGGTGGAACCTTCTCTGAAAAGCCCATGACGAGTTTTCCTCTCCTGTGAGAACTGAGCTGAGAGTTCTCTTCTGCCTCTGCCATCACCACAGCTGGAGGAGAGAGTGGGGCTGGGGAGAGTCCAGGGGGCCCTTTAACAAGAGAGGTATTCTGGGGCTCCCATCCAAAGGACCAGGTAACCCAAGCCTCTGGTACACTCCACCATTAGCCTTGTCTTCACACCCTTTCCCTTGCTTCCAGACCCTCCAAGCAGCTTGCTTTCCTTTGTAAATGTCATCAGAAAGGAGTGGGAAAGAGCAACAGAACAAAAACACCTAACAATCTGACATGGGGCTCAGCACCTCTGTCTGAACCCGGGTCCAGGCTGGAGCAGGGCCATGCAGCCTTCTCTTCGAGTAGTGCATTTGTTCTGAGGCTCAGAGGGCAGAACACAATCTGCCCCTTGCTGGGCCCAGGCCAATGACCAACCCTGTACAGGCAGAGGATGAAGGAGGTTCAGTTTGACAGACTGCCTCTCTTAGGTCTTGGATCTCATGGGAAGATGGTGATGGGGAAGTGGCTTGCTCTGCTGGCCCCTGCCACTCCTGGAATACTTGTCACAGATACATCGGTCCTAAATTCAAGTGTCTTCAGAAGGTGAAGATGTAAACTACTCTGCAACGTCAACTCCTAACATGTCACAACAAATACACACACACACACACACACACACACACACTCACTCACTCCCACCCCTCCTCAGCCTGTGTTGAGATGATAGCCTTGCCTTCCTGCCCCAAAGGGGCTTCCTCCCTCAGAGGGCCTGAGAGGATCCGGAAGATGGCAAACCTAGCCTGGATAGTCTAGATGGGAACAACTTTCCCCCACCCTGGGCCTCAAAGCCCTGAGGTTCTGTGGTACTGGATACAGTACAGGGCTGAGCACGGAAAGGAAAGGGGAAAGAAAAGGAAGCCCACTATTTGGTGAAGGTGTACCATAGGGCAGGTACCAGACTTTGGGGAAGGTCTCAGATCCCATTAGCAGATCCTGTTCCTATACCGTTTGAGACAACTAAGTCACAGGAGCTGACATGGGATTTGCACATACTAAGCACCGGGAGGGCAGAGTGGGGCAGGGCACAAGTTAAATCAACAAGGTACCCAAAAACAGAGGGCAAGCTCTTGCCAGCCTGGGATGCTGTGTCCTAGTCCCAGCCTTTGGGACAACAGAGGAGCTCGAGGAGGACCACACAAATTTCAGTAACTGAGCAAGATTACATATACCCCCCACCCTAGCACTGCCTGGATCCCAGTGTGGGGGGTGAGCATTCAGCTCCCCCAGCTTGTATTCTTCATCACCCTCCCTGACTCCTGATGACAGCAGCCTCCAGCCACTCTTCTAGCATGTGCAGGGCAGCTCAGGCAGATGGTGGCTTAAAAAGAGAAGTCAGGTATACTCTATGTCCGCATATACCTTCCTGCCACAGGACTTCACCAAAAGGCAGGATCCCCCAGCCCTCGGTTCTTCTCACCCCTTGATCTCAGGCAGGGTCAGTGAGAGGGTGGGTAGAGATGGCTTGCTGGGGGTTGTGGGGTATTAAGATGGGAAGATCGCACCAGACCCTTGAAGAATGGCACCTTTCTCCACATTGTGAGATACACCTCCTCGAGGTCAGACACAGATCTAAGTTGTGGCCATCAGTGGACGCTCACCTCCTTGCCCTGTGGTTGGGGGGGACACTCAGGCTGAGGACAAATGTGTGCCAGACAAGATCAACTCTGTTTATGACAGTCTGAAGCAAACTTGGCCTTGGGGTTCCGAGGAAGGGCAGGGTGAGCCTGGTCAGACGACAGCAAGCAGAACAAGGACAGCCTATGCAGATACAGGACATCAGCTTGAGACGATGAAACAGCAGGAGTGTCCTGGGCACAGCTCTGATTGAGCTGCCCCCAACTCTCTTGCCTCCAGGTGGGAGGCCCCGTACATGCAACTCAGTCCCAAGGAAAATTCTAGTTAGTCCAAGCCCAGGGGCATCCCAGGCAGGTGGAGCTCTTCGGAGGCTCGAGGAGGAAAACAGGCATTTGGGCATTAGTTCAGGTTCCCGCTCCACAATAAGGCAACTTTTAAAAAAATATTATTTTCAAAAACAGAACAGAAGAAAAATTCCAAGGAGGGGCAAAGACATCACTTTCTATGGATTAGGTGGGCTCTGATTTTTTTTGTCATTTTTTTATGGTCGATTTTGTCTTTTTTTTTTCTTTTTTTGTTGTAGTTTTTTTTTTTTTGGTTTGGGTTTTTTTTTTTTTTTGTTTTGTTTTGTTTTCTGTTTTCCCAAGGATGGAAAGATCAGACGAAAAATAAAATAAATCATCTTTCAATAGTCTCTTCTGGTGTGAGCAGCGTCTCTGGGCTGGGGAGGGGGGGAGGGCAGGAGAGCCTAAAACTCCCCGACCCCCACTCTGAGATCCTTTGGTTTCCTTCCCCCAGAGGTGGCAGAAGGGTATGCGGAACAGCAGGGGACACGGTGATGGCAAACCCCAGTTGATCAAGGGGTTGGTGCTTCTGGGACTCATGGGCACCGCCAGAGTCTTCTGGTGGGCTGCATAGTTGGCTTGAGGGGAGCGGGAAGAGGCAGGGACACAGGTCGGCTAACAGCCGCAAGAAAGGGCTGAAGAGTGATTTTGGTAATCCAGACAAACTATCAATAATTTAAAACTTGATATATATATATGTATGTATATATATATATATATATAAAAAAATCTCCCCCCTTTCCCTCCCCCCTTAGAAGTTAAGATGGAAGTCATGGAGACAAAAGGGGAAGGGGAGATTGGAGGCTCCTGCCCAGGGGCACCACTAATAGCCCAAATGGTGTATACAGCTACTTAGTGCAAAGGCCTATCTTAGTAACTCCAGGCCTGTCCCTTCTCTGTCCACTCTCCTGGGACTGGGCACCCCCACGGATCCTCGCCCACCCCACCCCTTCTATCCCAAACCCCAGGGGGCTTCTGGGCATTCACTTTCCCAAAGTCAGTGTGTCCAAGTGCTGGCTTGTCCATTTGGCATCTTCCCGAGTAGCCTGGCCAGTAGGTGTCGTAGGGGGTTGGCAGATCCCAGTGGCAGGCCTGCTGGAAGACTGGGAAGGGCACCGCTTCCTGCCCTCACCGCTGCCTCCTGCTACCACTGGGTGTCGCTTGTGGTTGCCTTCCTCGCCCATGGGGGGCTGTAATAGAGGAGTCACAAGTGGTCAGAGAGAGTACTAGTCACACCACTTTCCAGGACCAATCAGAGGCCTCCTTTCCATGGACCTCCAAATGTATACAATGGTTTGATTTACAAATGAAGTAGGGATCATCCTGTCCTTTCATGTTGACACTACCAGAAATAAGGTTAACTGACCAAACAGATCAAGTAATTTGTCAAAGACCTCCTATATTTAGGCCTACATTCTAAAGACCACGTTTTGACCCTACAAATTTTTGTCCCCTTCTATGAAGGGGTCTCTTACTTAGGAGATGACCTGTGGCATGTGGCATACAGCATGGCGCATGTATTGGCTCCACAGGGCCACATACACTGGGACTGTTTTACTCCAGCCTTCACTAAGCCCACAAGTCAACAATGAAGACTGTCTGCCCTAACTAAAGGTCACCAAAAGTACCCAGCTACCTATAGGTTCTCTGAACATACTCTCCTCCCCAAAGAGTGGGTAAGAACACAAGCCTAGTGGGCTTACTAGTCTGAACACTGCAAACAGTATCAGTTGAAAAATAACTGACGGCTATTGCTGCTACTTACACCTACCACTTTCTGCTCAAAGTTCTCAAGAGAGCAACAGAGAGTGATACATCATAAACTTTGGTTAAAGTCTTTTCTGTCTTCTTTGGTGATGGTCAGCCAACCCAGGGCCTTGAATGCTGCTAAACATGTACCTTACCACTGAGGTACACCCCCAGCACCCCTTAGCACAGGTACCAATCATGAGTCACTTAAGCTGACTTTAAAGACAGCCTTTGATATTCGGAAGCAATACCCAGACTCACCACAGGATGGCACTGTTCAGGCACTGTTCCAAACAATGGAGAATTGGACATTAATTTACAAATTTCTGAACTTTTCCAGGAAGGAACAAGTACATTTTATCAGGGTAGCTGGTCCTGGTCCTGACACAAGCTAGCAGTAGCAGGCCTGGGAAGCAGGTGGACTGTGACACGAAGGGAAGGACAACAGGAGGGAGGCTGGGAACCAACAACTCTAGCGAGCACCTGCTGTCCACTCTCACCATGACCTCACAAGAGGGACGCTGCTCTTTACAGGACAATTAGGAGCCAGAAGAGAAGCTTTCACTCACGTCCACTCGGAAGTCTTCTAGACGTCGGAATTTGCCAAGGTGTTCTTGTAGTTTGGGGTCAATGTCCAAATTTTTGGCTTTGGAATATTTCAGGAAGGCCCAGAACTTCTCTAATCCATAGAGCTGGCCTGTGAGGAAAGGCAGAGGTGGGGAGCTGGGCTGAGATGAAGGGAGAGGTGGGGCCTTAACACAACAAGACCCAGGAGGGCTCGAGCAGCTCTAACAAACTCTTACCAGCCTCATAGTCCTTCACAGTCTCCTCCTGGAAATCCTTGAATATGTCCAGTCGGAACTTCTTCTCCAGACCATAACTGTAATATCGAAAAAGGCACTCCAAACCGTATCTGCAAAGGACAAAAGCTAGTGAGCTTGACACAATGACCACTGTAGCATGGGGGGTGGAGGGGTGGTACAGCACACACCTTGCTGGCCTAGCAAAGGAATTCTGGAACAGTTACGACAGTGAACTATCCTGGACCGGAAACATGGCAGGCCCACAGAAAATCCTTCAGCAGTGCACTAACACCAGCCCTGAAGAGCCACGGTGTTCAAT